AAGCAAGGCTTTGGGCATGTTTTTTAATGAGATTATAACATTATAACATGATATAAAACTCAAAAAAGTTGATTTTACATGATATTGCCCCTTTAAGTGCTTAAAATGCTAAAGTTAATGCTAAACAAAATAATGTAGAGCGTCCCAAATGCCTATAATTCTGCACCTTTTAGGTTTTGTTCTTTAAACTTCAATAACCCAGTTTTAGCATTACTTTAACCACTTTGAACATGTAGCATTCTGATTTTTACAGGAAATCAGAAACTGTCAAGAAAAGCAATGACGTGATATATACTAAATAAAACGTTAAAAATGAACATTACAATGCAGATAATATGGAATGTTATTTAAACTAAATAAATACAGAAGTAAAAAAAATCATCGTAGACCTATCATGAATTATTTTATATAAAATTGACCATAATGACTACAATGGAAGGAGTTGAGTTTGCTGTAGATATTTCCCACGGTCCCTGAAGGCACCATCATGGCGCAGAGGAGGCCGAGGAGAACTGCTGTGGAACCAAACTTTCCTTTCGGCTCGGTTCGGCTCGTCTTCACGGTGCTTTAAGGGCTGACTTCGTCATCAATTGGTTCGGGTTCTGTTTGGTAAGTTGTCGGTACCGGAGGTGGTTCTTTTTGGACGATTGTTTACTTGTAGCGGAGGAGAGAAGATGACGAACATCGTTAAATATGACTGAAAAACACCGTGTTCTACTTTAACCACATGAGATTAAAATGTGTCAACAGGCTTAATAATCTGTACCGAAGTTAGAGTTTACACTGTTGTGCGTTTGTTTGTTAACGTGATGATGTGGAGTAGTTATTCTTTTACATTTAATGAGCGATCAAACATGGCTCAGACTGAAGCCTCTTGTTCTAAATGAACATGTCAGAACTTTACCTCCGTCTGTTTGAAGGGAAAACCAGAAACTATTAATCTTAGCTACTGTAAACTACTGTAAATGTGTTTGAAAGTCATGTAAAATTCAGAATTCTGCATTAAACAAGACCAGGTGTCTTTCAGTTATGTCATTATTATGTTATGTTATTTACATTTACACACATATGCACAGTATATAGAGTGGTTAATGCCCAAGTTATTAATTWTAAATAAACAGTATGATGTTTTGGAAGTAATTAGGTTAATTAATGATGTTTTCAAGGTTAACTAAACCTTTAATAATGATTAAGTAAGGCTAAAATAACTTGTATTTATTAGGGCTGTGTATTGGCAAGAATTTGGCGATACGATACATTAGGGGTGTAAGAAAATATTGATACTCTGAAATATTGCGATATTTCATTTCCCGATACTGTGTCGATATTCTAAAGCCCTGTATCAATTTTTAATTAAGGTTTAAAATGTCAACCTTCTTGCCAGCCGTTCATTTTTATGTTGTAGTTCAGCCTCTGACCACTAGTCGGCAGCAGTGAGCCAGACATTTGGCTCCTCTACCTCTTGAGCGCCAGAGAGTAAGGGTAGCATTAGCATTGTAAGTAAACATTAGCT